TGAAGCGCTATATGGTTACTGCATTTTACGGATTTACAGCGCTACTCAGGGGTTAAATGCTGTATTGTGCTGTATAATGATAAAAGTTGCAGTAGAGGGATGTATAGTGGTATTTAAGGGAGGGGAGAGAAGGGGATATTGGCGTGCGTATTCGAGGAGTTTATTCTACGATGTTGGGAGACATGGAGTCGAATGATCGACGGAGCGTGTTTGCTCATAATGAATCTCAATTAGTCATCGACTATCTCTCTAAGCCCTATAGTAACTTATCCTTTCTTAATCATTGTTTTGTCAAACTCTTTTCCAGGGTCTTCTCTGCGTCTACATTCGAGATGGCGGCTACCGACTCTGTGGAGTCTGTGAATTGGCCTGCCGCCATCTTGGATTCGCAATGTAGGTGGACCCTGAGCGAGAGTTTGACCTATTCCCAATCAGATAATAGGAGAAGCCTTAATTTGGACATTGAAGGACTCGTTTCCAACAAAATGCACCGATTATGTCGCCGAGACTTGGAGGGAGCTCTTCCGCTTTATAACTGCTACTATGACGAGAGGACTGAGGAGAGCAAGCACTGGCAAAAGAGAGTTAAAACTGAGAGACCCTGTGGACTGGGAATCGGTCGAGAGGAAAACTGGGATTTAACTGGAGATGACTTAAAGAGGACACCATTCCAAAGTGGACAACATAAGCATGATAACAACTATTATAGGGGAGTAAGGAGGTATACGAGTTGTAAGAAGCCTAACGTTGCGCGAGGATTGAGACGAGTGAAAACTGAAACAGACAAGGAGATAGTCGCGATTAATGAAGCGCGCAGAAGAATAAAGTTGAGGGCGATAAAAGAAGTGCGCGTAAAGATGGGAATAAAGGAAAATTGCGATTAAAAAAGGGAAGAAACGAAGGGAAGGAGAAAACAGATGCGAAAATATGAAAATGTTTAAAAACTTGTGCGAGGAAAAAGGTGAAAAAGGCGCGCACATGTATAGCATGAACACGTCCGTCGGCGTTCAAAACCGCGTGAGAATATGGAGAACGATAGACAGTAGAAGAAAAATAATCAAAGAGACGACGCGCGTTTGTTAAGTGGGTGGGGGCTTGAAACATGGAATGTTTGTACCCTGTCAGCTACACAGGTTATCAACTTAGCGCGCGCGAGTCAAAACAAGCATTGAAGTCCATATAGGATTTGTTATCTCTGCATCTCACGCGAATCCTTAGACAAACGATGAAAATCAACGCAGTTTTTGTATTTTATACACTGTATATTTCTCTTACACAAAGAATAGAAAAAATAAAGTACAAAACAAACTGCATTAAATTGTCCAAGGCTTTAAGTAAAATACGCGCTCAACTGAGACACTAAAATGAATCCATTTACTCCCAAGACTGATTATAATTTAAATTCTCCTCACAAAATTAATACACCGACAAACATGGTGTCCATACGATTTAGAGAAGATCTAAACTGGAGGATAACTTTTTGCTAGAAACGTAATGTTACATCGAGTTCTCGGAATGAAGCAACAAAGAAAAATTCTTATCAGTTGAGAGAATTTTTCCTCAGAACTTGGGAGTTCATGAGTTAATTAAACTAAGCTGAATGAACAATTACCTTCAAAAATGATACAGTACTTCACACAAATAGCATCAAAATACTTTGCACGAAATATATTGACATAATACAAAGCATATTTTGTTAAAACTGTTCCAGCTTGCTTTTAAAATCCTA